GAAAGAGTGAGCATGCTTCTCAGTCCTTCCCATACGAGTTCAAGTCCACGCTTCCTCTGACTGAACAGGTTTCTGCCACTGGCTTACTCTGTCTGAATCTCCAGGCTAATGAGTTATGATGGGTTGACGGGCTTATATTTGAAGAACTCATGGACTAACAGTGGTAGAAGGTGAATCCCTGAATAAAGATCAATTGAAAGGAAAATGGATGTTGGGAGACATTAGGAGAAATGGTGTATTAGATGGCAACCTTCTAAAATGCTTAAAGGCCTGGAATAATGGGCTCGAATTTGTAAAATGAATGTAAATATGTATAAAGTATTTCCCATGGAAACAAAAAGTCATCCTAATGTGAAAAGCACTCTAGTCAACTATAAGCTCAGTATGAGCCAACAAATTGATTTGCCTATCATTGACATTAACAAAAGCTAATGTACTCTAATTTGCCAACTATTAGAACTATTTAACATTGGCAGTGGTGGCCTTAGGAAATAGTTTCTAACTTGTCACTAGCTATGATAAAGCAAAAGCCATATTATCACCTAGGGGGATGCTGTTGAGAAAATTCAGGGCTCATAGACTCATCCATTCATTCACTTATTTGTTCAGCACGTTTTTTCTTGAAGGCCTGTGCTACCGGCTTGGATCTCTCCAGGCAGATGCTGAGACAAAATCTGGCACCTAGGCCATTTTTTTAGGGATCAACTTTAGTGGAAATGAGGGAGAAAGAAGTATTTAGCCAATGTGATAAAAGCCCAACCAAACCTTGACCCCAGGGAGTTCTGAAACTTTAGAGAAAATACAGCCTACCAAGGTTTTTCCTCCTTTTTTTTCCCTAGTTATTAGAGGGCATATGGGCTCACCAGAGAGAGAGAGAAAGAGTGAAAGAGAGGGAGAAGGCAGCCAATAGGGCGTGGTCACCCTGCAATCTCTTCTCCATTTCTCTATCCTTGTCAGGATTTGGGGCACATATGTACCTGGTATTGTGCCTGGTATGTTTTTCAAGCCTCTAGGACAAGGACTTGAAATGTAGCTGGCTGTGTGAGATCTGACTGCCTCAACCACCAGGCCTTGAAGCTGGACCTTTATTTATTTATTTTTAAAGTTTTTCTTTTTAAAAATGTCTTCTAGAACAGACTGAACAATGGAGACAGGCACCCACAACAGGATCTTCATTCCCTGACCCACCTCCAGCTTTAGCCAGCCCAGATAATGAGCACATACACACACACACACACACACACACACACACACACACACACACCTGGCCTGTACAGGGAGACCTAGGGATGCAAACCTGGGACCCTCACATGAACATTACTGCTTGTCACCATCTGGTCCTCAAACTTATCTCTTCTAAGAGAGAGAAAGGGAGAGAGAGAGACACCCACACAGATAGATAGCACCCTCAATAGGGTGTTCATACCATGACCCAGCTCAGCCTCAGTCAGCTCTGAATCATGCCAAGTATACTCAAGGAGGTCTCTGGACATGATCCTGGAAGCATCCCATATATGTCAGCCTTGCAGAGTCTCTTGTTTAGTCATTGCAACCATCCAATCATTCACTGGAATTCCTGCAGTGGGCTGAAATGGCTGGACCTTGATAGCCTGGGTCTTGGTTGGAAGAAAGGCTGTATTCCCAGGGAAGGATACTTCCTACAGCTAAGACCACTAGAAGAACTGCCAGCTGCTGAGTCTTTCCATGTCTTCCACTGCCTTCTATGTGCCAAACACTGCTCTAGGCATTGAGAATACAACAGTCAGCAGAATGGACAACAAACTTTAAGCAAGAGCAAGCATTTTAGTGGAAGATAAGGACAGGATTTTTATTAATACCTAAATGAATTTATGTCAGTTAGTGATAAATGCCAAGATGGTGTATATCACAAAGAAGTAAAGGTAGAACATGATGGAACAAAAAATGCTGGAAAGTATTAAGAAGTTGGGCTGTTTGCATTCATTGTGCTTAGGCAAAAACCTAAGAAAATGTGTAAAAGAACTCCATATGTATCAGAGCAAGGTTCCAGGGAGAGGGTACAGCAAGGACATCAGTGTGTCTGGACAGAGGAAGTAAGAGTGGTAGGAGATGAGCTTGGAAGGATAGTAGGGGACCAGATCATGCCAGGTCCTGAGGCCAAGTTCATACCTTAAAGTCATAGTAAAGTTGTATACTGGGAAAAGACAATAGAGATAGCTTCCTGGAGACATTCTCTCCACCTAGCTCCCCATTCTATCGGGGAGAAAGGGAAATACAAGGGAAGTGATATGATAGCAGAAAGTTGCACAGCTAAGGTAGAAATCCTACAGAAGGTCACACTTGAGACAGACAATCATGGTGTAGCTAATATGATGCTGAATGCAAGTAAGAGAAACCCTGCATTCAGACAGGCTTTCACGAAGAACATTTAATGATCACAGCTTCCTAGAAGAGCAGAGGATCCTGGGTATAATTCCCTAAGTGGCTCAACAATATTCCTTCCATCTTCCCACCTGCCATCTTCAGTATTTCAGTCAAGATGGGTTAGTGAGTGCTGCAATAACAGATCTCCATTTCAATGGCTCTAAAAAGCAAAAATCTATCATCTCTAGATTGATATATAGATACATTTGTTTTCCTTATACTCCAGGTCCATGGTGGGTCAATTTTCATGAACTATCAGGCACTCCTCACTGCAGTCACTCAAGGACCACACTGATAAAAACCATGCCCATAAAGAATTTTACTTATCTGGGACCAGAAGATGGCGTAATGGTTACGTTGTTGGACTCCCATGTAGTCGACCGCAGTTCAAGTCCCGGACCTGGCGGCTTAAACTCATGCTGGGTACGTGTGTATACATGCCCAAGATTCCAAGAGGAGAATGGAGGAGAAGGGCTTGCAGCTGTGGCCATCTCCCCAGGGGGTGATTTCTCGCTTTGTGTCTCGTTGGCTCTGCCTTTCCTGTGAGCACACACGCCCTATAGCAAAAATCTCTAAAAAAAACCCCTTTATCTCTTTATTTATCACCATATTAGAAGAAAATGAGAACTCTAGAGTATCTTGTAGCAGAAATTAGATAATCTGGTTCGAAAATAAGTTTCTGCTCACACCTTACTGACCAGTATCAGTCACTTTCCCTTCCTATTCACAAGTGGGCCGAGAATTACAATCCCACTTCATGACTGGAAAAGGATAGCTATTTAGCGAGCAGAGTTAATTGCTATCCAACTATTTGAATATAAACTTAAACTCACAGCTGGTGCCCTCTTCCAAGATTATATCATTCGGAGAAGCAACATTGAAAAGGGAGTAATCACTGTTTTTTGGGGAGAATACAATTTTCTCCAGAATCCCCCAACAGACTTCCTTTACCTTAGTATTGCCCAGAACTGGATCACATGCCTATTCTTAACCAATCAGCGTGAAGTGCAATGGGTTCATTATGGTCCATTCAGCTTAGCTGGGAACTGTCTTCTACAGCCAGACATAGATGTAGAAAAAACGAATTCTTCTCTAGCACTTTTTAATGAGTCAAAACCACAAAGAAAGGGCACTTCAATAGTGTCAACAATTCAGACTTTTCAAGTAAATGGAGGCGGGAATGGGAAAAGATATTGAAATAGAACAGCAGCCTGGCAGAGCAGGAGGGGTGTACGTATCAGTAAGAGAACAGTGCCCTGTAGTAAGGGTCAATATCAGGATTTATATTACCCATACACAACCTCTAAGACTCTGGAAAATCCTGATATACTATTATTTTCTGTAAGGCTGTCTCAATAACTAAACCAATTTCCCTTACTTATTGTCACTGATCAAATCTTATTAAAGGACCATATGAGGTGGGTACATTTCCTCTCTACCCATCACTAGGGAGCTCCCAGATATGAAAGAGCAAATTCTGGAATAATGAAGGGAATTCTAGAATCCCAGGGAAATTCTGGAATCACGCGGAAGAGAAAAAGAAGAGAAAGGCGTAGAAATGGCACATGGTATGAAGATAAAGACATAAAGGTTTTTGCATTGGTTTTCAAATATGTGCTTATGGTTCCCAAATTATGAGGGGGCTTCAGAAAGTTTTTGCACAAGTGGAATTAAAGTACACGTTTGTTTTGCTGCGGACACATTTCAAAATCCACGCATAATTTTTTTTGATGATATGAATTTTTTCATGAACTTTTCATAAACACCCCCTCTAGTTTAAGTCTATCATCTGCACACTTGAAATAGTTGCTCTGGATGGCTATCTCAAAGGCACTTCGATATGATGGTGGCTAACCCTACCCCGAACCTGTGCATCAAGTCCAGAGTGGGCACCAACTATCAGTAATCTATTATCAGTAGACTGGGCTAGTGTCTCAAACTCCATTTGACTTAGACATCCAGTAAATATGTAAATTTGTGTCTTCCTATGGTTAAAATGCATCAATACTGGGGCCGGTAGGTGGTGTGGTGGTTAAAGGCGTTGGATTTCCATGTGGCTGACCATGGTGGGAGTCCCGGACTTGGTGGCTTGCTCTCTCACTTTCCCTTTTTCTCTCTCTCTGTCTCTGTCAAATTAAAAAAAAAATGATAATAACAAATGGAATTAAATAATTAAAAAAATAAATAAAACCCACCAGTACTTCCCCATCTATTGTAGAATAAACTCAAGCTCTTTGGCAGAGGACATGATGTCCTCCTGCCAGCTTTATTTGCAAAACTCCCTCAGGGCTGATGCTAAACTGCCTGCACCCTGTGCACACACCACTTCCTGTCTTCCAGGTCTTGTTGAGGATATTTTGTCTGCTAGGAACATCCTTTCCCTATAGTCACTTTATTAAAATACTCTTCATCGTTCTTTCAGAGTCCACCCATGACCTCACCAAGAAAGCTGCCTTTGACCGCCACCTCCACCGTCTAGGGTTAGACTGGGTGCCTGTCATCTGCTCTCAGAACACGTGCCCACTGTTATCCGGGGACACAACCACACCATACGGAAATCCCATGTGTTTCCTCAGGGAACTACAAGCTCCTCCCCCTTCGGGAAAGGAACTCTTACTCATTCTTTACTGCAAACATGGACCATGGTGCCTGGTAAATGAAAAGTAAGGGCAAAGAAATGTGGACGGGAACCATTGTAGGAGAAGGTGGGAACTGAGAGGAAGCGGAGGGAAGGGGAGAAGTGCAGAGAAAAGGGGGGAAGTAGAAAGAGAGCAGCAAATGAAGAGCTGCCAGGGGAGCTGGTGCCTTTGGTTTTACTATCTGGCTGCCCAGCTGTTCCTCCTGTATCCTGGAATCTGGATTCTAGCTCAGATTCGTCCACTTCACAGTTTCGAGAAGAGATGCCCTGGCTTTCTGGGATGGGAATCCCTGGTTAGGTTCACAGGTGTGAGAGTAAATGGCCTATCTCAGGGAAGAAAATTCCTACCTCCTCACTCTGCGGGCCTGTTCCTGCCCTCCTCCCAAACACACCAGGCAGGTAGGAGGTAGGCAGCGTTTTGGCCTTGCCTGCTTTTTGTTCTCATTTACCCACACCTTCTCCAAGGCCACACACACAAGAGGATGTGTTGACCCACACCACCCCACTCCCACCCCCCCCACCCCCGTCCCCGCACTGCCACAACTGCCCTGCCCCCTCCTTTCCTGCTATTGCACAAAGATTTCAGCACAAGCCAGGAAAACAGAGATTGCAAAGCTAAGTCTGAGTCTCAGACAGCTTTTCTAATGTGGCCTGGATGCTCTGAAAAAGTCTGAGAAGGGGAGTATGAGGCGCCACCCAGAGCTGGGGGTGATGTCTTGTGCTGTGTGTGTGGTAGGGAGAATGCCCCAGGGTAGGTTCGACTCGTCTCAGTTTAAGAACCTGTAGCAATGGGTTTGACCTCTCTCCTTGGCCTTGAGCAACACCACCACTAGGGAGAGGCAAAGACTTGCAGAATCCCGTCTCTTGTTCTGGCACCTTGCAGTCCCGGGCTCCGGTCGGGTGGGTCCCGCGAAGCACTGGAGGGGGCAATGGCAAAGGAGGTCTGGCTCAGCAGCGGGCCAGCTCCAGCGGGGAGACTCTCTCCCCGCTTCCAGTTCCCTCTTCCCGCTCCTGGTCCGCCTTGCTGATTAACTGCTGTCCGGGGCTCGGTGACGCGGAGCTTGAAGTGCCGCGAGGTGGGAGAAACAGGGGAGTACTCCCCCCACCTCACTCCCCGCCGCCCAGGGCGCCCAGGCGTGTAAACGTGGGCGGCGGTGAGCGGCTGTCCTCTCCCCTCCCCTCGCGGCGCTCCCGTGTGTGCGGGTGTGTTAGTGCGTGTGGCTCCCTCGCTCCCTCTCGCACACGCTCCGGCACTAGTGCAGGCAACGAGCCGCCGGCTTTCCGCTCGCTCGCTCGGGCT